AGGATAAGCTGCGAAGCTCTTTTACAGCACGGCGGGTCCTAGCAGAAGGCAAAAGTTGCAGAAAGAAAAGTGGCTATAAACATGATAAACTCTTAATATTCGGGATAGATTCTCCTGAAATTTATACACCAGCAAGGGTTGCTACCCATCCCTATGTTAAGGGCTCGAACTGAAGTTATCAAATTGCCGCTATCCTCACAATCAACGAAAGAAAGCGTCTGGTCCGACAGACATTGCTTTCAGACAAGTATTGTGGGTTCATTCTGAATTCTCGACGACGAGCAGCTGGAGCGACCCTCACTGATTCTGACAATGAGGTAGAGCGCCTTGATTTTACCTGAGCAGGAAGGACTTTTCAAGAACTACCCTATAACAACGAAAAGTCCCTGGCAAGACCACAGTGGTGACCGTCACCAACAATCCACTCGAATCCCGACAATCCAAGTTCAAACGCCCGTCAACCTTTTCGGGTTCGACTTGACTCGCCACAGCTTGAAGAACATTCCAGCCATGTCACTCGTGTATGACTCTTGCGGCTATCCAAGTCTACCGGGAAGCTCTACGGGAGGTACTAGCCGACTCAGAGGCTTTTGCCGCATTCCGCATACTTCGAAAGAAGACGCAAGAAATGTTCCACCAATGTTACAGACTCCAGATTAGCCAGATTCACTTACATTACCTTCACTCCATGAGGATATGCTCATCAAGGAGTACATCCATTACCGACCCCTGTACTAGCATAGGATACGTCGGCCCTCTCGAGTGGACAGGTTCCAAGTAGATCAAGGGTCTGCACTGTAGCATTATCCCCTTGAAGCTCATCAAACACGTGGGGCGTGCCTCAACAGCGATTGTGTTTGTTAACGACTATCACCATCTTTGGCTTCAACGCCACCGAAACTCAGCCTGCTGGCGGAAGATCCGCCTAAGTGCCCGGCTAGAGCGAATGAAGACGGCAAATGACCTGCCTACTCATCAATGCGGAGTGGCCTTTCCAATAACATGCATTATTAGGTCGGCCATGGATCCATAGCAACCGCGATAGTCTCATCCATATTTGCATCATGTGTTTGAGTAATGGCGACCGCTGATCAAGTAAAGACGGTGGTCGCTGATAAGTGACCTGCATACTTCACCGATTCATATTACATTGAAGACGCGAAGTGACCCAACCCCCCCAACCCCACCATCGCTACTTCACGATTCTTTACTTCTACTAGGACTTTTGAATCGGCAACGAGCCAACGAGGTCGAGGAACGCTGATAGTGGCAACAAAAGGCCGATAGTGAGTCTTGCAGGCAGCGAGGGGGTCTTGCTTGAATAACATTGAACCAATTGTAATCGACTATGGGGCCTTGTTATAACCAACGCTGACGGAAGCAGGCGGTTTTATCCTGATATGAAGATCGCTGACTTTGCTTACTTGTCGTCGTAGTTCAGCAGTCTAGTAATGACTGAGTTAGCAATTTGGTTGCAGATTTATATAGCAACCTCTTCTTGCACTTGCCACGTGTATTCGTCGTTGTTCTATGACAATACGAACGATCAATTCCTCACAAGCCGCCTTAGTAGTGCCCCGCCCACGGTTAATTATCAGAAAAATATTATCTTTGGAAGATTAGACCGGGCCCTATACGTTACAATGTTGTGCAGACGAGTGAGACGATGACGAGTCCGCTCCATTAATTCTCACACTACGATCAAATATGGCGAAGCGTGCTGATGGAAGAGCCCATAGTTATGATGTACCCGCCAAAGAAGCGCCTTGAACTGCGACACAAGGGCCGAAAGACACTCGTCCGACCTGCTTATGTTCCCAAAGAATTAAGCCGGATAATTAATTTCGCAAACTCGAAGAGGATTGGTTACCACCTCCTCTTATCAGAGTTAATATTTTATTAATTTTGATGAAGATTTCGAAGACGGCCCTTCCGGAGAATCATTGTAACTATCCTCGGACTGTGCGATTCAGGATGTTAGTGTCGGGAGAATCTGTTCAGCGGACCTCACAGTCAACATGCTTACAGCTGATCCCAGTTGAAATTCTGAGAGGATAAACCAGAACCCCGCTTTATTGAAGGCATGGGCATCGCCACGTTAGTGCCCTAATGGAGGTGCGTAGCGTATTGAACAACGGTGAACCTAACCACGGTGAGCGACAAGATACTCTTAAGTAAATATGGGAGACGAGGCTAAATCCTAACCCCATATTTCTATTAGCGACAACTTACCTTCCAAAGGCAGAAAGAATACCATATATCTCGGCATCCGGGAATATATTGACGGTCTTCGCCTGGAATTACGAGTACATACCTGGCCTTGATCCTGCAGATCGCTCATTGCATCGCCTCAACATCAACATCGCGACGCCAAACCTGCTCAAACACGGCAAAACGGTTTCGCTACACAAAATCATTGGAGGCGATTGAAGCCGAAATAGAAGAAGTTGGTCGATCAGGCTCATCAGATAGGAACAACACCTTAATTTGGGTGTCTAATATTGTTTAGTCCTGAAGAAAAACAGAAAAGATCCGTATCTGGCATCGACTTCAGAGACCTCAACGCTGCATATCCAAAGGATGAATTCCCTTTAATTTTATCCCATCACAGACCTCATCAATTGACAATTTACTTGTGGGTTCGAAAGGATGTGTTTCATGGACGGGTTTTAGGCATATTAACAAATCAAGATGGATCCCCGAAGACGAGAACACACTTCGTTCAGAACTCCAAAATTTTTTAAAAGGGGGGTTGGTATTGTTACACCAGTTATGCCCTTCGGACTTAAGAACGCCGACGCAACCTATCAGCGTGCCATTGCAGCACAATTTTTTTGCCGGATTTCAATCTACGAAAGACAGTCGAGCTACGTAGATGACTTGGTTGTTGAAGAGTCGCAGCAAAGGAGATCTCTTCATGACCTGAGCCCTTCCCATGAGAATGAGTGTTCGAACTAATGCCCGAGCCCATCAACTCAGATGAACCCCACAACAGTCATTTGGTAGGTTAAACAGAACTATAGAGGTGTATGGGTATGAAAATAAACTAGGTAAAACTTTGGGTATAGGTGAAAACAAAAACTTCAAAAATTGTGGGGTTATAGGTAGAAATTTAGGAATTGTGGGCTTATAGATAAAAAACAATCCGGGTAAAACTTTGGGTTTATAGAAAAAACCAATGTAAAACTTTGGAAGGGGGTGATTTTAAAAAAAATGGAGGGCGAGGGGTGGGGGTGTAAGGCGCTGAATTTATAGGCAAAAATGCAACTTTAGAAGTGGGTAGATATGAAAATAAATTGGGTAAAACTTTGAGTATAGGTAAAACAAAAAATTCATATATTGTGGGATTATAGGTAAAAAATTCAGAAATGTGGGCTTATAGATAAAAAAATAAAAATAAAAATCAATTAGGGGTTGTTTGGTTGAGTGATTTTATAGAAAACTTTATAGAAAATGGTTGATAGTGACAGTTTTGTAAATAAAACTTTTCTGGAGATTTCTATAAACTGTGTTTGGTTCAATAAAAAATTACAGAAAAGTTTGCTATAAAGTACATAAAAGTACCTCATTTTATAGAAACCAATTTCCGCTCAAAATAGGCGAAAATCACCCAGAAATCTGACGCATATGTTAAAAAAATAATTAAGTACATTAGTATCCTTCCCATGTGATTTCCCATGAGCATTATTAGCAAGTTATTTTCTATAAAGTGACATCCAACCAAACAAAAGAAAAGGAAAACAACATATTTTCTATAAAGTTAGAAACTTTTTCATACTTTGAACCAAACAAAGAAATAGAAACAAGAAATATGATACTTTTTTGAGTTCTATAAAATTTTCGTACAAATTTTATAGAAATACAAGGAAATCAAATTTTGAGTACTTTTCTTTTTCCTCTTTTTTATAGAAATTAAACCAAACAGCCCCTTTGAGTAAAACTTGGGGTTTATGGACAAAAACCCCTAGTAACACATTGGAAGTGAATGGTTTAAAATTTCATGGGGGCCATGACTTTGGGTTTATAGGTAACAATGTAACTTTAGAAGTGGATGCATATGAAAATAAATTGGTAGAACTTTTTGTATAGGGGAAAAGAAAAACTTCATAAAATATGAGGGCTATGGGTAAAAAGTCAGAAATCGTGGCTTATAGATAGAAAAACAAAAACATTCTACATTTGTTGGCCAGCCAGGAGTCGAACATCATGACATCTAGGTCACATCACAAAGAAGTACCACGGGGCTACTTTCTAATCCATATTGTATTTTCAATAGTATGATATACGATATTTTACGTTATTTTACAATAACTTGCTATATTTTTATTCTAAGCGGTTAGGTATACACAGAGTTTTAAACTAAATGCTTGAATCATTACTTTTTGGTTTTTGTTCCACTAATATCGTAATTATTGAGAGCTGTATATTGATTTTTTTCCTATACACCCAAAATCTTACCCTCATTTATTTATTACACCCACTCACTTTCAAAAAAAATTATTTTGTCTATAAAACCAAAGTTTTACTCTTATTTATTTTTAAACTCACCGACCTCAATAATCACTCTTAGATCCAAAATACTTTATTGAATTAGTTTTGAAACCACTTTGTGTTTCATCAATTTGGTACATGTTTCCCCCCCCTGTAACTTGCTATATTTTTTGTTCTAAGCGGCAAGGTATTTTGTGTATTTGTAAACCAAATGCTTAACTACATCTGTTTTCTGGTAAGTGGTCTATCACTTTTTGGAAGTTCTCTTAAATGCCTAAAAAAAAGGTAATCTACATTAGTGGGGAGGTGGTCTCAAACTAGACGAAGTTCTCTGGCATAACTAAAACCTAAATGTTGAATTTAAAATTGCTAAAAGTATCATTAAGAGGGCGGAGGGGTTCATTTAAAATGATAATTTTCTTACAGAGTAGGGTAATTATCTCATATATGTATTTAAGTATGAAACTAATGGTCTACTTCATGGTGTGCTTTAACTTTTGCAAATGCAGGGGAAATTTATCTTTCGTTTTTCAATCTGAATCCAAGGAGAACTCAGATGTCAGCCAAAATAAGTGATTTAGGTAAAGTTCTCCACCACAATGTCCTGCTCAGAGGTTCATGCAGATGTTTGGAGGTCTGGAGTGGTAAGAACTTCGGTATAGTGGCAGAGACTCTGTCAATCATGGTCGAGGCTCATGGCTGTGCGCTTTTCCTCTTGAATTGCGACAATTAGAGTTAATTCTTTTTGTTGATGTAGTTATTTCTCAGCGCTTGATTATAACTTTTAAACAATGAGGTGCATCAACTCCAATTGTCTTCCTTTTAAGAAGGAAGAGCAAAATCTGTCATCTTGCCTGGACCATTTTGCTCTCAAGTTAATAATACTATTTGAGATATCTCTTATAGGTACTTCGTCGCAGTTGAGGTATGTACCTGACTCAACTTCTTGACTTTGCACATGTGGCTTTCTACGGACATCTTTATTTTGGTAAATTTTGAACATTAGCAAATATTATTAGGATTAACGATTGAAACGGGTATGCTGAAAATAAGGGTATTATTTAAGCTGTACAGATAATGATTCAGTAACTAACAATTTATAGTTTGCATATGTTTTGTAAACAACCTCTAAAAGGTCCTTAGTTGTATTTTCTACTTGTTTAGAACTTTTCAATTCAGTGTTAGAAATATTTTTGTATTAGGAGAATATAAGTGTGTTAGGCATATATATTCCTTTATTTCCATATTGCGCGGACACAAAACTCTTTTTATCTTACATTCCTTTGTTCCTTTGTGAAGGAAGGTAACTGTAGCCTTTTTCAACCAATGAGAATTCGCAGTTATTTGACCGTTTAACAAGGGATCAGGGCCAAGTCTTAAAAATAAAAGTTTAAAAAGTCTATTCCCGAAAATCCTAGCCCTCTCCACCCATTAGCTATCATCTGACCATCCTGGTCCTAATCCCTTCACCGTCGCCCCTCCTATGCTGTATTATTGCTGCCCCCGTACTCCTGACACCACCCTCATGGGCCAGCGACAGTAACACCTCTAGGCTACCATCGTCATCTGTCGGTAATCACAGCACTACCTCATCACCACATCTTTGTTGTTGCAGAGAGATTTGGTATAGTTTCTTAGGTTGATCTTCCGAATCACTAGTGGATTATTTTCGGAATTGGTTTTAGTTGTTTCAAGCTATTGTTGTTTGGAGATAGTGTTGGAGCTTGGAATTGTTCGTCTGATTCCTTGTTTTGCTGATGTTCGAAATTGAAATTACCTATTGTTGTTA